TAATTTTCTGATGGGATCATCAGTTCATTTGGGAATGCATCGAACGAGGGAGTTGGAAATGTTGGGGAGGACGAGAGGACAGGGGAGGGAGTAATAGTGGGGAAGACGAGGGGACGGGGCAGTTTGGGATGGTGGGGACGAGAGGATAGGGGAATGGAGAATGGTGGAGAGGACAAGGGGACAGAGGAGCGGGGGGTTAGTGGAAAGAACAGGAGTTTGGGGGAGGGGGGGAATGGTAGGGAGGATGAGGGGATGGAGGAGTGGGAGATACTGGGGAGGAGGGGACGATGGAGTAGGGAATGGTTAGAAGGACGAACGGACGCTGGTGTGGGGAATGTTGGGAAGGATGAGGGGACGGGGGAGTGGGGAATTGTTGGGTGGAAGAGGGGACGGGGGAGTTAGGAATGGTTGGGAGGACTGGGACACAGGGGAAGGTTGCTGTGGCTCAGTAACGCACATGTGTTACTGAGCCACAGCAACGCGTGGCCGAGTACAGCCTGTCTATATAAGTAGAAATGAAAATGTTCGTTTGTTCAAAATCGCTAATCTCCGAAAGTTCTTCACCGATTGCTTTGAAATTTTCACACAACGTTCCATTCGCATCCGGCCAGGTTTTTATATACATACTATATAGATGTCACGTCTGTGACGGTAAAAAAAAACATGTTTTTTTCTGAAAAACTGGGTTTTTCATGTGAGGGGAAATCTTTACCGATTGCTTTGTAATTTTGACACAAATTTGCTTTCGAATAGGCGCATTTTTTTATATATCTACTATATACATGCCCCACCTGTGACAGGAAAAAACATGTTTTTTTGAAAAACAGCGCCATCTGTTGGACTGTGGGGAAATTCCAGGCAGCTAATCTCTCTTTTTCAAATTGATTTAATAAAATAAAGTTATGTCTTATTTATTTTCTTAGTAAGTATGAATTAATTAAGTGGACTGTATGTACTGGTAAACTGCCTGAAATCTTCTTACACACTATTGGGAGGGACAATTGGTAGCCTAAACCACTTTGTTATGGCTCCTTCTTAAACTACCAATTGTTTACCTTTAACTCTATTATTTCAGTTATTTCAATATACAGTGTACCACATATGGTGGTCTAAACTACTTCATAATAAGTAATTATGACTACTACTACTAATATAATGTCTTAGCTGTGCCAGTAGAATGGGCCTAGTAAGGCGAGTAGGTGTAGCCTCAGAATGGGTGTGGCCCTGCCTCTTTGTGCCACGTAATGGCGGCTGGTGGGAAGGACAAGGCTTGGCAAACAAGTAGTTAATTATGTGTATGAACCAACTGTCTGCACAGATTCTTGCTGCTCCTCTCACAATTTACCTGTATGGGATGCAAGGAATTAATCAAAGTTCCCTAAACATATCAATTACAGGTATGACATGAACTGTGAGGGTTGTAATGGGGTACACGTACGGTGTTTTTGGGTTTCTCCCACGACCTAACCATCTACCCATTAAAATATTAAACAGTGCACTTGAATAATAAACAATACTTGGTAGACGGATACAGTCGTTGTTGTGATGTTGTTAGGCTGTGTTGCTGGTGTTGACACGTAAATGGGGTGTCTAGTTGTTTACACCAGTTAACCAAGACAGCGTGGTAGGCTGATCCCTGGTTGTTGTTGTGTATATGGACGCCTTCCTGCCCACTCGGGGTAACGCCCTTATGCTCTGGTTCCTCACTCAAAGTAATTTTACATTAACAAGGGAACCTAGCTACTATTTGATGTAAATAATTATATTCATTCTTATTGATTACTTTTTTGTTAACTTTAGAGACTAAACTAGTCTATTAACAATGTTTCATAATGTAAATATACGATGACTTCGATGACGTCACGGAGTCGATGACGTCACGGAGTCTCCCATTTTCCATCCTGAAGGGAGTACAGACTAGGGCAGACTGTGTTATTTGTGTGTGTGTGGTTGTGTGTGTGTCGGTTTCCCGACATGGACGTAAGAGCAATACACGCTGTAATCTCCGAAAGTTCGCCACCATTTGCTTTTAAATTTTGACCCAAGGTTTCATCCAAATAGGTGCTTCTTTTATATACCTATTATATAGATGCCACCCCTGTGACAGGTAAAACATGCGTTTTTGAAAAACAGCGCCATCTGTTGCACATAATAGAAACATGCACGCTATACTAAATATGTCACGAATTCCATTTCAGTGTTTCCGATTCCATTGATAAATTTTATTTTCTTAGATTTCGATTACGATTATTTTATTTTTTATATAATTATTTTGTGTGATATTGTACTGAATTGACCTGTGTTTTTTACCATACCATTCATTTCGTATGTATAAGTATAGATGCCACACCTGTGACAGGTAAAACTATGCTTTTCTTGAAAAACAGCGCCATCTGTTGCATGTAAGAGCAACACACATTGTGTGCTAAATATGTTATAATTCCATTTAAATGTTTCTGATTCCATTGATAAATTGAATTTTCATAGATTTTTATTTATTTTCTTTTTGATTTAATTATTATGTGTGAATTGTGTTCGAATTGAGCTGTGATGTTTACCATACCGTTCATTTCATGAGTATAGTTTATTTTTTTTTTTCATATTTTCATTTCATTTTTTAACTTTTTCTTATATTTCAGTGATGAGAAACATCAGATAACTTGATGTTCCTAATTTTCTGATGGGAACATCGGACCATTTGGGAAGGCATCGGACAAGGGAGTGGGGAATGGTGGGGAGGACTCGTTGACAGGGAAGGTTGCTGTGGCTGAGCAATGCACATGTGTTGCTGAGCCACAGCAACGCGTGGCTGGGTACTGCTAGTTTATAATATGTCTATCTAATTGAATATAATCTTCAGTATTTAGTTAACTATTACTTAGACCACATTTAAGCTCATTTAATATCATACTACTATAATCTAAATTATTGGTTTGTAATATAAGAATATATTGGCTGTTATAGTTGTGATGTTAGGCTGAACTGCGTACATGTTTAAATTCCTGATTTAAACTGAACCTCCGTTATAGAACTTAATTATTAAATCTTATCCTTGTAATAACAATACAAGCTGATACGAGGAACTTGTCCACAGGTGGATTGTGGATCATCAATCAACTTCTACATTCAGTCTTAGGGTCCCCCACCTGCCCCTTGCAGCCCACCATGTATCATTAGGAAAAGAGGAGCTAGGATTTACGACCCGAGCTAGAGACTTTAGTTGAATTAATTTTCCATACAGTAATGTTTAATTTAGTACAGTACAAGTCCCTAGAAATTCTCCTCTCACATTAATCGAGGCAGGTTTTCCCACATAGGTAGCCACAGGATAGTGACAGTTGGTAGCCACAGGATAGTGACAGTAGGTAGCCACAGGATAGTGACAGTAGGTAGCTACTGGACAGCGACATTAAGTAGCTACAGAATAGTGACTGTAGGTAGCTACTGGATAGTGACAGTAGGTAGCTTCAGGATAGTGGCAATAGCTAGCTACAGGATAGGGACAGTAGGTACCTACGGGATAGTGACAGTAGGTAGCTACAGGAGTATGACAGTAGGTAGCTACGGGATAGTGACAGTAGGTAGCTACAGGAGTATGACAGTAGGTAGCTACGGGATAGTGACAGTAGGTAGCTACGGGATAATGACAGTAGGTAACTACGAGATAATGACAGTAGGTAACTACGAGATAGTGACAGTAGGTAGCTACGGGATAATGACAGTAGGTAACTACGGGATAGTGACAGTAGGTAGCTACGGGATAATGACAGTAGGTAACTACGGGATAGTGACAGTAGGTAGCTACGGGATAATGACAGTAGGTAACTACGAGATAGTGACAGTAGGTAGCTACGGGATAATGACAGTAGGTAACTACGAGATAGTGACAGTAGGTAGCTACGGGATGCTACCTGTCTCAAGCCTGTCACTATGTCATATCATGTCCCTTTCATTAACACCTGTCACAACCATTTGTCGCTAAACCTTTTCTCTACACTCGCTACCCAAACACTTTTCCCTAACTTTTGTTACTAAACACTTTTCCTAACCTTTGTTACAACACACAGTTACAAACATTTGTTACTTAATACAGTTACGAACCTTTGTCACTAAACACAGTTACTAACCTTTGTCACTAAACACAGTTACTAACCTTTGTCACTAAGCACAGTTACTAACCTTTGTCACTAAACACAGTTACTAACGTTTGTCACTAAACACAGTTACTAACCTTTGTCACTAAACACAGTTACTAACGTTTGTCACTAAACACAGTTACTAACGTTTGTCACTAAACACAGTTACTAACCTTTGTCACTAAACACAGTTACTAACCTTTGTCACTAAACACAGTTACTAACCTTTGTCACTAAACACAGTTACTAACGTTTGTCACTAAACACAGTTACTAACGTTTGTCACTAAACACAGTTACTAACCTTTGTCACTAAACACAGTTACTAACCTTTGTCACTAAACACAGTTACTAACCTTTGTCACTAAAGTTTCGAAGATTACAGCGTGTATTTCTTTTACGTGCAACAGATGGCACTGTTAAAAAAAATGCTTTTACCTGTCACAGATGTGACATCTATACAGTAGGTATATATAAAGACACTCGTATGCGAATAGAACGTTGTGTCAAAATTTCAAAGCAATCTGTGAAGAACGTTTGGAGATAAGGGTTTTTGAACAAAGGAACATTTACATTCTTATTTATATAGAAAGATATTGTTTTGCTGTCTCGGAGCTTACAGTCATGGCCATTTTTGGCTGTTTTTCTGTTTTGTGTTTGATATAATAATACTGTATTGTTATTTTTAAAGTTTGTATTAGAGTTTTTTTCTGAAGTGTTCAGTTAGACCTTCATTTATCTGTCGTTATACACGTGCCTTAGATGCTGTAACGTCCTGTGACCTTTAGTCCACGATGATGTTCTCCAGCCAAACATTATAAAGTGCATAACACTGCATCAGCCTAATATCTATGTGTATCTACAGCCGCGTACCACTCCCCGACCCCCACTGTGAGACTGAGTTGGGGAGAAAACCTCACCATTCCACTAGTCAAGAAGACACAGCTGCTTCCCAATTATGTGAGGACTAGGAGACTTCCAGACGACTGGTCAGTAGCAGCTGACTCCGAGATTCCTTTGAGCTATGGACCCGCAAATCTCAGCCTGGCTGGCATATACCTCGCCGGAAACGACCCCTCGGCCCACTTCGACGTCATGGTCCGTGGTAAGTGGTGTAATGTAGAGTTGCTCATCATAACATTACAGGGAGGAGATAAGTGGTGTGGATAGGAGAAGACAGAAGGATAATCGGCCAGTAGAGGAACATAAGAATACAGTAAACTTCAGAGGGTCTATTGGCCCATACGACAGCTGAGCCGCAGCTCCAGTGTACATTATAGCCTGTCAAACTGATATGTGTAATTTACATTTGAAACAGTCAAACATCTATCATGTTACCAGTCTATTTGTCCTGTACATCAAAAACCTTGTTTCTACACTATATCCCCCGGGTCTTCCCTCAGCCTAAACTTATCCCGCTTATATCTATTGTTTCGTGTTCAATTTTATGTTGATATAATTACCATCTAATTAATATCCGCCATGTTATTTCCTTTCCTTTCATCAATTTAAATACTTCAGCCATATCACGTATAACTTCTTCCTTTTAGAGAATTCAAATTATCTCTACTACCAGCTCGTTCAAATGCTAGAGAGGACACAAACACCTTGACAACCTTACCAGAACCACATTTATTAACACAAAGTAAAATACTTTGGATTTGAACCTCTGAGGATTTGAACCGCAGAGGATTTGAACCTCTGCGGTGGATGTTCCCACGCACACGCCCCAGATAACCAGGCAACGACATTGTCAAAAGGATCACCTGGAGTTCTACTGAACACACGAACATGATTTGAACATGATTTGAAACAAATAAATCATCAATGGTTATCAATTTGCACTTATATAAATTACTGAAGTGAGTATATGTGTGTTGCAGATTGTGAGAAGGAGAAGTATGGCATACATTGTTCAGAGGATTGTCCCAAGTGCCAACATGGAGGGCAGTGCCATCCCCAAACTGGCACTTGTGTATGTCCTCCAGGCTTCACAGGTGACACCTGTCAACGCGGTGAGTCTTTATCATTTATTCTTCCTGCTTGTCCTTCAGACAATATATAAATCTTTTCTGCCGACCTACTTCCCATGTGTAGGCGGCCATCCTTCCTTCCCTGGTTAACGATGCTCTCACGCTCCTGACTAGTGTAAGCTGTCTCTCCTGTATTGCTCTGCATAGCATGAGTAATATGTTGATCTTGACAGTTGAGGTAATGCGTTATGTTGATGAGCTTGCAGCTTCCCACAACATGTGTGGGAACGACGCACCAGCAGCATGGTCCTCCACATTGCCAGTATTAATGTCATTGTTTGCTGCTCTCACAGCTTGCCAACCTGGAACATTTGGAGAACAATGTCAGCTGAGGTGTGATGCGGCCACACTGGGATTTCCTGTCACCGAGGAGGGAGACTGCCGCGGCTTGGTGGTCTGTCTGCCTGCGCCCTTCGGGTGCTCCTGTGCCCCTGGATACACCTACTACAGGCAGCATAATGGTGCTAGTAGCCCCATCTGTACAAAAGGTTTGCAATACATATGTGCTCCGTTGATGAAGTGTCTGAATTGAATAAAATGTTAATACTGAACCCGACTGAATTTATATAAACGAATATATATATCTTAGATAATGTGTAGAATCTAAATAATGTGTAGAATGCAATGAAACGTCACTTTCTGAGCGGTTCTTTGTGTGACTGACTTTAGATGGCACCAGGGAGACTCATAACATGTTAGGGGACCCTCCCTTGGCACCACGGAGCCTCATAACAAGTTGGGGAACTCTCAGCTGGCAACAGGGAACCTCATACCATGTTGGGGAACTCTCAGCTGGCAACAGGGAGCCTCATACCATGTTGGGGGACCCTCCCCTGGCACCAGGGAGCCTCATAACATGTTGGGGAACTCTCAGCTGGCAACAGAGAGCCTCATACCATGTTGGGGGACCCTCCCCTGGCACCAGGGAGCCTCATAACATGTTGGGGAACTCTCAGCTGGCAATAGGGAACCTCATAATACTTTGTAGAACCTCAGTTGTCACCAGGGAGCCTCATAAGTTATTGTGGAGCTATCAGCTGGCACCAGGGAGCCTCATAAGTTATTGTGGAGCTATCAGCTGGCAACAGGGAGCCTCATACCATGTTGGGGGACCCTCCCCTGGCACCAGGGAGCCTCATAACATGTTGGAGACTCTCAACTGGCACCAGAGAGCATCACAACATGATTAGGACTCTCAGGTGGCACCAGGGAGCCTCATAGCATGTTGTGGAACCCTCAGCTGACACCAGGAAGCCTCATAACATGTTGGAGACCCTCAACTGGCACCAGGGAGCCTCATAACATGTTGTAGAGCCCTTAGCTGGTACCAGGGAGCCTCATATCATGTTGAAAACCTCTCAGCTGGTAAAAGGGAGCCTCATGCCATGTTGGGGACCGTCAGCTGGCACCAGGTAGCCTGATAACCATGTTGTGGAACCCCCAGCTGGGAAGACTAGAGACCCAAGAGCGGCCAGTTTCATGTTCCAGCGCCTCAGTGTCGCTGTTCATGGTATATTGTTATATAAGTGTGTGGTTTCTGTAAACTGTAGCATTGCAATATCAAATAAAAAAAAATAATAGGGGTGGTAGGAGAGGAAAAGATTAAAGTATTCAGTGAGAATCCACAAGGTCTTCTCTGAACACTATTTATTTTCTTCTTCGAGGATGTTGGTCCCTTTAATTAAACCAGTGGTGGTACCCATAAATTATTATGGGTACCATAATAGAACATAAATTATTGACTAAGTTAAGTAAGTTTAGGTTAGGTTAAGATAGGTTAGGTTAGGTAGGGTTGGTTAGGTTCGGTCATATATCTACGTTAGTTTTAACACAAATTAAAAAACTTACTCATACATAGTGAAATGGATAGCTTTATCATTTCATAAGAAAAAAATTAGAAAATTATATAAATTCAGGAAAACTTTGCTTATTACGGAAATCGGGCCTTGCATAGTAGGCCTAGTATTACGTTCTGGCTACTAGGTACAACATATATATGTCGTACCTAGTAGCCAGAACGCACTTCTCAGCCTAATATGCAAGGCCCGATTTGCCTAATAAGCCAAGTTTTCATGAATTAATTGTTGTTCGACTACCTAACCTAACTAACCTAACCTAACTTTTTCGGCTACCTAACCTAACCTAACCTATAAAGATAGGTTAGGTAGGGTTGGTTAGGTTCGGTCATATATCTACATTAATTTTAACTCCAATAAAATAAATTGACCTCATACATAATGAAATGGGTAGCTTTATCATTTCATAAGAAAAAAATTAGAGAAAATATATTAATTCAGGAAAACTTGGCTTATTAGGCAAATCGGGCCTTGCATAGAAGGCTGAGAAGTGCGTTCTGGCTACTAGGTACGACATATATATATATATATATATATATATACATATATATATATATATATTATTAAATATGACCGAAAAAGTAAGATTAATAATTCTAACACGAATTTTCTCAATCTTTCGTACATTACGCTTCACTGTTGGAGGTAAATTAAAAATCAATTCTCCAAAATTCATTTTTATTTCTAGTCTGACGCGACACGGGCGCGTTTCGTAAAACTTATTACATTTTCAAAGACTTTAGTTCACAAATACACAACTGAACATACGTATCTCCGATTTTATATCTACATTTGAGTGAGGTGGGAGGGGTGATGTGGCATTAACACAAGACAGAACAAGAGGGGATATTAATAGGGTATTAAAAGTATCAACACAAGACAGAACACAAACAATGGGTATTGAATAGAAGTGTTTGTAGAAAGCCTATTGGTCCATATTTCTTGATGCTTCTATATTGGAGCGGAGTCTTGAGGTGGGTAGAATATAGTTGTGCAATAATTGGCTGTTGATTGCTGGTGTTGACTTCTTGATGTGTAGTGCCTCGCAAACGTCAAGCCGCCTGCTATCGCTGTATCTATCGATGATTTCTGTGTTGTTTACTAGGATTTCTCTGGCGATGGTTTGGTTGTGGGAAGAGATTATATGTTCCTTAATGGAGCCCTGTTGCTTATGCATCGTTAAACGCCTTGAAAGAGATGTTGTCTTGCCTATATACTGGGTTTTTTGGAGCTTACAGTCCCCAAGTGGGCATTTGAAGGCATAGACGACGTTAGTCTCTTTTAAAGCGTTCTGTTTTTTGTGTCTGGAGAGTTTCTCATGAGAAGGCTGGCCGTTTTTCTGGTTTTATAGTAACCAGAAAAACGGCCAGCCTTCTCATGAGAAACTCTCCAGACACAAAACAGAACGCTTTAAAAGAGACTAACGTCGTCTATGCCTTCAAATGCCCACTTGGGGACTGTAAGCTCCAAAAAACCCAGTATATAGGCAAGACAACAACATCTCTTTCAAGGCGTTTAACGATGCATAAGCAACAGGGCTCCATTAAGGAACATATAATCTCTTCCCACAACCAAACCATCGCCAGAGAAATCCTAGTAAACAACACAGAAATCATCGATAGATACAGCGATAGCAGGCGGCTTGACGTTTGCGAGGCACTACACATCAAGAAGTCAACACCAGCAATCAACAGCCAATTATTGCACAACTATATTCTACCCACCTCAAGACTCCGCTCCAATATAGAAGCATCAAGAAATATGGACCAATAGGCTTTCTACAAACACTTCTATTCAATACCCATTGTTTGTGTTCTGTCTTGTGTTGATACTTTTAATACCCTATTAATATCCCCTCTTGTTCTGTCTTGTGTTAATGCCACATCACCCCTCCCACCTCACTCAAATGTAGATATAAAATCGGAGATACGTATGTTCAGTTGTGTATTTGTGAACTAAAGTCTTTGAAAATGTAATAAGTTTTACGAAACGCGCCCGTGTCGCGTCAGACTAGAAATAAAAATGAATTTTGGAGAATTGATTTTTAATTTACCTCCAACAGTGAAGCGTAATGTACGAAAGATTGAGAAAATTCGTGTTAGAATTATTAATCTTACTTTTTCGGTCATATTTAATAATATATGTCTACAGGAAAGACTGCTACCAAAATATACTAATATATATATATATATATATATATATATATATATATATATATATATATATATATATATATATATATATATATATATATATATGCAGAATAACCACATATGAAAAATAGAAAATGCTTAACGCGTTTTCGGCTAATTCGCCTTCATCAGAGCAAAGTAGAATGAGGATAAGATTTATCCTCATTCTACTTTGCTCTGATGAAGGCGAATTAGCCGAAAACGCGTTAAGCATTTTCTATTTTTCATATGTGGTTATTCTGCATACTTGGATCAGTGTTTTTGTGATCATTGTTGCATATATATATATATATATATATATATATATATATATATATATATATATATATATATATATATATATATATATCATGATCACACCTTCCCTCTTTTGATACAAACAATTTATGTAGTAAAACTGACATGACGAGATTTATGAGTAAATAACAAATGCATTAATTAACATCATCGCCGAAGATATTATTGTCTGTGTCACTGTACGTCTCACTGGTTTTATTGGCTAGATATTTACGGATTCATAACTTATTAATGTTGCAGAATGTCTTCCTGGAACCTACGGTGCAGACTGTAGCGAGACCTGCAAGGATTGTTTGGGCAATGTGTGCGACCGGTTCTCTGGCGCCTGTTTCAGAGGTGAGTTTTGCATCCTCTCTTATTGTCATATGTGGGCTTGCCTGCTCTCTTGTTGGCTGATGTGGTCTTGTCTGCTATTTTGCTGGCCGATCACGTTCTGCCTCCTCTATTGTTAGATGATGTAGTCTTGCCTCCTCTTCTGTCGGCTGATGTAGTCTTGCCTACTCTCTTGTTGGTCTTGACTGCGTTCATGTTGGCTGATGTGGTCTTGCCTTCTCTCTTGTTGACTGATGTAATCTTGCCTGTTCTTCTATTGGAAAACGTGGTCTGACCCGCTCTCTTGTTGGCTGATATGGTCTTCACCGCCGTCTTGTTGACTAATGTAGTTTTGCCTCCTCTCTTGGTGGCTAATGTGGTCTTGTCTGCTCTCTTGTTGATTGAAGTTTTTTTGTCGGCTCTCTTGTTCCCTGATGGAGTCTTGCCTGTTCTCTTGATGGGTGATGTAGTCTTGCCTCCTCTCTTGTTGGCTGATCTAGCCTTGACTTTTCTCTTGTTGGCTGATCTAGTCTTGCCTTTTCTCTTGTTAGTTGATGTTGTCGTACATGCTCTCTTGTTGGCTGATGTAGGCTTGCCTCTTCTCGTGTTGGCTGATGTAGGCTTGCCTCTTCTCGTGTTGGCTGATGTAGGCTTGCCTCTTCTCGTGTTGGCTGATGTAGGCTTGCCTCTTCTCGTGTTGGCTGATGTAGGCTTGCCTCTTCTCGTGTTGGCTGATGTAGTCTGACCTCCACTCTTGTTGGCTGATGTAGTCTTGCCTGCTCTCTTGTTGTGATCGTGTTGTACCAGAGTGTCTTGTTGGAGGTGATGAGTTGTACCAGAGTGTTTTTTTTCTCTCTTGTTAAGAGAAGGTGATGATTTTTACCGGGCGTCTCGTCACTTTATTTGGAGAAGGTGATAAATTGTACCAGGGTGTCTTGTCCCTCATGAAGGTGATGAATTGCACCAGGGCGTCTTGTCCCCTCTTTTTGGAGGTGATGAGTTATGCCAGAGTGTCTTGTTGGAGCAAGTGATGAGTTGTACCAGAGTATCGTGTCCCTCTTGTTGAAGGAGCTAAGTTGAGCCAGAGTGTCTTTCCCTAGTAAATATGACAGATAGAAAATGTGTGTGTGATCTATAACCATTAGCTGGCATCATTGTGGACTGGGTTTCTCAGAAAGCCGCCTAATTCCCAGTCCTCTTAATGATCTATTGATGGTCTGTTGGTTAGCACACTGGCTATGACACTTTGCTGGCCCATATTCGATTCTCTCATAGGGAAGTGTTCTGTTTGTTATATATAACTTGTGACATCATGGAAATATTTGGAATATATTATATATATATATATATATATATATATATATATATATATATATATATATATATATATATATATATATATATATATATATATATATATATACCCGGCTACGCGTTGATGTGGCTCAGCAACGCATATGCATTGCTGAGCCACAGCAACCTTCCCCTGTCCCCCAGTCCTCCCCACCATTCCCCACTACCTCGTCCGATGCCTTCCCAAATGGTCTGATGTTCCCATCAGGAAATTGGGAACATTAAGTGATCTGATGTTCCCATCACTGAAATATAAGAAAAAATTAAAACATGAAATGAAAATATGGAAAAATAAATAAATAAAGTATACTCACGAAATGAACGCTATGGTAAACAACACAGCTCAATTCGAATGCAATTCACACAAAATAATTGAATCAAAATGAAAATAAATAAAAACTATGAACATTCAATTTATCAATGCAATCAGAAACATTGAAATGGAATTGTAACATATTTAGTATAGCTTGAGATGCTATTACATGTAACAGATGGCACTGTTTTTCAAAACGCATGTTTTTACATGTCACCGGTGTGGCATCTATATAGTCGGTATATAAAAATACGGGTGTATTCGAATGAAACGTTGTATCAAAATTTCAACGCAATCGATGAAGATTTGAGCATGTGTTGCTCTTACGTCCAACAGATGGCGTTTAAAAAAAAAAAACGCACGGTTTTTCCTTTCACAGGTGTGGTATGCATATAGTAGGCATATAAAAACACGCGCATATTCGAATGCAACGTTGTGTCAAAATTTCAAAGCAATTGATAAAGAGGTTTCGAAGATTTTTCCTCCCATGAAAAACATTTAAAAAATCAAGTTTTTCAAAAAAGCATGTTTTTCCCCTTCACAGACGTGACATCTATATATTATGTATATATAAACTCGCTCGGATGCGAATGGAACATTGTGTGAAAATTTCAAAGCAATCGGTGAAGAACTTTCGGAGATTAGCGATTTTGAACAAACGAACATTTACATTTTTATTTATATAGACTGTGACGGTGTCCCACCCCTATATTTCTTCCTTCCCAGCTTAGAAGAGTCATATCTCTGTGGCCTATGTATTCTCTGATGATCAGGGAACATTTTCGTGTGTGGGAAAGCGTGGAGTGTGATTAAGCTGGCTGTAAAATGGCCAGCTAAGTTTGATAATGCAAGGGGCTTACGGCTCTTCGGGCACAAGATGGTGCCGAGCCATCCTGTTTCCCGTCAAGACGTGGTGACACGCCCGGCACCTGATTGTCCAGGTGAGGTCACGTGCTGGAAGTGACCAATGACGAGAGCCCTCGGGCGGTGTGACGTCATGAGGCAGAGGGCTCTCGGGGCGGCTGGCGCCTGGGCGGGAGAGTGCGTCACGAGCCGCCATAGAGTGAGGATGCGCTCGAATGAGCCCTGGATCTGGAGAGTCCTTACCAGTAAATTTAAGCATCGCTTCGATTCTGTAGTCTGAGAGGCCCTCCAAGTTCCGTGGAGTGCCCAGAAGCAAGGACGGGTCGGATTAGAGAGCCAAGAGCTCAGTCAAGCGTCTGCAGCAGAGGGAGCGTGTGGCTGGTGACGTCTGGGATGCCCAGAAGACCATGTATTACACATCAAGAGTGAAGCTACGGCTGGGGCCAAATCTACTAGCAGTGAGGCGAGGGGAAGCTGTGCTGGACTGCGAGGTACCGACAGTGCCAGTGAGAGTGAGGACGACGACGGAGGTACCTGTCTCCAGTACCCAGTACAAGAGGAGGAGGAAGGCAGTACCTGTTGGGAGTCAGTACGGCGAGGACGCATTACCACGAGGACGAATGAGAGACCTGTGTGTGTGGGAACCGGTCGTCGCCAGACCAGAAGCCAGGACCAGGAACCTTAATATCCCTCAACAGAGGACGAGTCAGCTTCGTGGTTGGAATGAAGTGAGGTAGATAATTGTCCCTCCCTTTACCCTTTTGATCTAGGCGAGATAGGGTATTTTATGTATTTTATATGTTGTGAACATTTTTACTCATCATTTTATTGTCTAAGTGACAGTGTTAGGTTTGGAGCCAAGAGTTCATTTAGGCACGAGTTGGTGCATGTGAGCATTTATGCGGTGATGTTAGTGATCCTGGAGGTAGTAGCTGGTGTGCAAGGAGCAAGTAACGAACTCTGAAATGCCCAGCTGATCGCATTGCTAGAGGCGTAAGAGAGTCACATTTCTGACAGAGCCGTCAGCTAATCGTGCTGCCAGAGGCGCGAGGTGTGTGCCCATGGCTCGAGGTGTGGAACCAGTCAGCTGACCGTGTTGCCAGAGACGTGTCAAGAGGAGTGTTGCCACCAGTGGAGGATTCCACTTATCGACATTTCGTTATGCAATTTATATGTATATAAATATATATTTTCTTCAATAAACTTTTAAACTAACTGATGAGTTTAAATGAGTCTCCATTCTCTAGGGCTATATGTATATTGAGTGAGATCATTATATGACACCTTGCACTGCACGTGATATTGCATCCTATTATAGTCTGTGGGTTGGTTGGTGTTGTCGTCGTTGATCCTTCTCTACGGACAACCCAACCCACAACTCGGTAGAGTGCTTACACTTCACTAGGAGATCACACCAGGCGCTTCTGGCTCTTGGAGAGGGGCTCCACGTCACATGTTTAGGGGATGCGGCTCCAACACTCAGCCTCGTTGTCACGTGCACACACCCACTCGAGCCGCTGTGACTCCCCACTCTCTCCTTAGGTGATATGATCTCCTCAATCCCCTTTTGACTTACTAGTATTACCTTTTACCCTGTCCACAGCAGTGGTTCTTGATTCTTTCTCTCTCTCTCTCCCTCTTTACTACCTCCTGGGAAGCCTCACTAGGACAAGGGCAAACACCAGCAAATTGGGATACATTTACTAGACAAAGCACATACACGATACATACACACATATAATAATAATGAATCCTATACTCTATAATATCACAATCAGGTTGCTCTCCAACACCATCAGAACTCTATTATCAGCTTATCAAGTGGTATCCTATCTCCTGGTTCACCACCTGATACTATCAACCTCCTCAAGTTGATCAAGTCTACATACACTGTTACACCATCAGCAAGATAATATATATATAGAAAATCAGCATTTGAATGCAATAACATATATCAGTATAAATGTTCATTGATACACAACAATGATCAATCGATCACTGTCAGTCCTGGAACGCATACATCTGTAGGTAATCCAGCCTACGACTGTAACTCTAAACTTCAGTGTAAAACACTCCTTGACATAAGAATGCAAACAGTCACTCACCTCTCACTGCGTCTTGCACTGTAATGACAACCAAACACTATCAACTCCCTACTAGTAATCCACCAGAACTTCCCCTTCCACTTCTGGAAGTTCACTACCCTGATCTCTTCAGGTTCTTCCGGGCTTCACTACCAGGATCCTCTGCAGCTCCTCCAGGCTGCTATCATGAAGTTTCCTTGTGCAACTACGGTGCTTCACCCTTCTGTTAGGTTCCTCCACAGCTCTCTTGGCTGCTACACAACCTCTACAGAAGCACGTGACACTCCTCTTCACTGCTTCTCCTCACAGCTCGAGGTCCTCTGCTCCACTACCTTGGAGTCTCATCAGCTACTTCATCTGCTGGCTTCGAAGTTCTTAGCAACTTCTTCCCCAAAGACAAACCTGCAACC